AGAGCTATGTTACCTCCCAGCCTGGCTTCCTTTCTTTTGGAAACTTATGTAACATTTCTTTTTCTTGTCTAATTGCATGGGCTACAACCACTAAAACAGTGGTTCTCAAGCTGGCTGACTGATGGGATCCTGCCTGACCTCCTGGGGAAAGCAGAGAGTGGTGCCACTTGGTAGTGGTCAGGCAGCTTGCCCAGAGCCTTCCATGGAGCGAGATCTCATCTAAATGCTAGATGGCATTATCACCCCTTTAAGGGGGAGTGAATTACAGAACCTGTGCCTTTGTAAACAGAATTTATAGGATTCCAAGTAGGCTCCTTCCTTGGAGCCCTTAGGATCTCCAGAGCCAGTTTTCTTTCTTTCTTTCTTTCTTTTTTTTTTGTGAGGAAGATCAGCCCTGAGCTAACATCTGTTGCCAATCCTCCTCTTTTTGCTGAGGAAGATTGGCCCTGGGCTAACATCTGTACCCATCTTCCTCTACTTTATACGGGATGCTGCCACAGCACGGCCTGACAAGTGGTGCATTGGTCCATGCCCAGGATACAAACCCGAGAACCCCGGGCTGCCAAAGTGGAGCACAACCCAACCACTATGCCACCAGGCCGGCCCCCAGAGCCAATTTTTGAACTTAGTCGAAAACAGTGGCTCTCAGCCAGGGATGACTGTGCCCACCAGGGGACATTTGGCAACGTTTTGGATTGTCAGGATCATCACTAGACCATTGTGCTAGCGGCATCTAGTGGGCAGAGGTCAGGGATGCTGCTAAACATCCTACAGTGCACACAAAAGTGCCTCACGGAAAAGAACTACCTGACCCCAAATGTCATAGGGTAGGCATTGAGAAACACTGTTTTAAAACAACGTGAAACAATAGCATTGGTGGCAGGAATCCCTGTCTTGTTGCAGATGTTAATGGGACTTTCAAGGAGGGAAATCGGCATTTCGTGAGTGGGTGTCAAGTCCCTGCTGGCCCCCACCCTCCCCCTCACCCCCACCCCAGCATTGGCTCACCCGTATGAATGCCCAATGAGCACGTTTCGCTTCTTGGCATAGCGCTTGAAGATGGCACGCATGTCCTCTGCCAGTGCATAGAAGGTGTAGGCTGCGGCCACCTGGGGTGCCGAGCTGGCCCCATGGCCGGCCAAGTCGGGTGCCACCACCTCATAGCCTAGGCGCACAAAGAAGTCCAGCTGCTCCTTCCAGATGGCCAAGGAGCCGCCGACACCGTGGATGAAGAAGAGCACCACATCAGCCTGCGTGCCTTTGCAGCTGGTGATGCGCTTCTCACAGTCAATGTGGATGGTCCGCTTGGGGCGCCGGGCTCGCCGCCGTCGCCCGCCACTGCCACTCCCAGCACTGCCTGGGCCTGAGCGGCCATCACTGCCCGCCGGGTCTGCCAACTCCACCTCTAAGGTGGCCGGTGGCTCCCCAGAGCCATTCTGCCCATGCAGGAGGTCAGCTCGTGGTGCCGGGCCCAGGTTCTCCACCAGTAACCGCCCGTTGCGGTACACTGTGATTCTGCGCTGGCAGCGGACCAAGCCGGACCGGTCCTCCTGGGCAGTATGTGGCAGAGGTGGGGGTGGGTTGGGGGCCGGAGCAGGTCCAGCATGCTTCACCCGCAGCACGCGGCCAGGCTTGACCTCCACAAAGGTGTAGCCATCACTGGACTCGATGCTCTCCAGTGGCCCCACAGCGTTGGGTGGTGCACCCAGCAGGCAGCAGAAGATCCCGTCAGTCACCCCGGTCAGCATGGTGTGTCCTGGGAGTGGGGGTGACAGCCAGCTCAGAGGCTGTCTAAACGAGGAGCCCTCCACCCCCACAAATGGGTCAGGGAAGCCGCACTGGGAGGCCCCTTCTAGGCTCCAGTTTGCAGACGGCCAAAGCCAGCCAAGCACAGAGATGTTTTGTCTGGGTGGTGCCTGTGTGGTGGTGAGCTGCCCTCCTGGGCCAGCCTGGTCCATCTTAGAGAGAAGGACCTGGCTATGGCTGACCCCAAGAGGCGTCCACAGGGAAGGTGGTGAAGTCAGGGGGTGATTCCTGGAGGAGGGGATATTGCCCCAAATGTGGCCCAGCCCTGAGGAGCCCCCAGCTTGACTTTATAGTATATCAATTATGCCTTCTGAAATCCATTCATTCATTCATCCATTCATTCATTCATGCATGCACTCTTTCATTAACTTACTTTCGCTAAACTACCTTATCCTGAGGGTCTCTGAAGGCATCTAAAAAGGTTCAAATCCCAGTGAGCCCCCATCCCAGGCCCCAGAACCTGGCTCCTGAGAGGTGAGGCCTTGGGGGAGGGGGTTCGGGCCTGAGCTACAGAAGGCCTTGCCCAGTTCCGCAAGACCACAGAACTGTATCACAGACGGACAAGTGAGGTCCAGACACTCTGTCTCCCCTGGTCAGTACCCTGGGTTCTGGTGGTCTGACACACAACCCCTAATGGTGGAGATGAGGATGGAGAAGGCAAAGCCCCGGCTGGGGGCCTCCAGGCCTCCATCCTGCTCCCTGCCTCTCCCCCTACCCCGTGTCCATGGCAACCGTAGGCAGTTACATAACTCGAGGGGGATACCCGCGCAGCGCATCCGCATTGTCTGGGGCCTGGAGATGGGACCAACCCCTCCTCCGTCCCCATCCAGGGCGCTGCGGGGATAAGGCACCCAAAGGCCCGGCCTGCGGTGGCCCGTACTTGCTGCTGGAGGGGGAGCAGGCCGCGCCCCCACCTCTGGCGGGGTCCCAACCCGGTATTGCAGAGGGGGGCGCAGATGCGCCACGCCAGTCCTCCTCCCCAGAGCCAGGCCCCCGCCTCCCGGCTGCCGGTCAGCCCTGCGGCGGGGTCGAGGACACTGGGGCTCCGCGGCTTCCTAAGAGCCCGTGCGCGGGCTTTGTGGACAACCCCCTCCGAAGGGGAAACCCGGGGCCTCGATGTCCCCCTCCTAGGGCTCGCTCGCCGCTCACCTCATCGAGGGCCCTGGGGCCCGGGGCAGGCCGGAGGGGTCCCGGGCGGAGAAGCCAGCGTCCACCTGCGGGCGCCGTTTACATGGTGGCGCTGGATCGGGCCGGGCGCGTCTATGCGGGCAGGCGCCGGCCCGGGGCGGTCAGCGCAGGGGCATCCCGCGGCCTCCGAGCCAGCCGGCCCTTTAAGTCTCTCCCAGGGGGGCGGGGCCGCACGCAAACGGACGGGCACCTCCACCAATCGCAGCTGCGGACTGACCTGGCCTAGTTAGACTGCCAATCAGAGGCTGCAGCTCCGGGATGGGGCGGGCTCTGGACGCAACAGCCCCGCCGCCGTTAGGGGTTTACCGAAGTGGAGGGAGGAATTGGGGCTGGCTCAAGGCCGAGAAGGGGTCGTAGCTTGGGATCTGCCGGGCTCCTGGGGGGCCGCAGCCAAAGCCTCCTCGCTGCAAATAGAATCTCCTCGGCCAGCTCCTGCCTCCGAACTGCTCTGTCCCCTCCAGAGGGAGCCCCCATGTCCCTCTCTGTGCTGACCTTTCCGTTCTAGAGACTCCCAGATCTTTCCAATTTCAGGTGGCGAAACTGAAGTTCATAAAGGGCACAAGGTTACAAGGCACGGCGGAATCAGAGTTGGGACTTGGAACCACGGCTGTATGTTTCCAAGTCTGGAAATTGTTATTTGTTAAATCTTTAAACAGACCTCTTGGAGCTATGGGTAATTAAAGAATTGGAGTTTCACAGATCGGCCGAATTTAACTGTTGGCCGATTTAATCAGTGGCTCTGGTCCCTGCTGGAGTCCGAGAGCCCAGGGGTCAAATCCAGCCTCCGCCATTTGCTGATGTGTGACCTTGGGCAAGTCGCTTCCCTGAGACTTCATTTATTTCTCTGAAATTCATTCCCTCCTGAGTTTGCTATGCAGGTAAAACAGCACGGAAAGTGCTCGATACATTGTTGGCATTATTATTGAACTGGTGTAGTACTGTAGTGGTTTGCTAAATGATGGTGCAGGTAGGATGTGCTTCAGAGAACAAGGGGTTAACCATTCCTTGCCTACTTCCATCCCCTGGAATTTGCTGCCAGAGCTGGATTAGGTCCAGCCACCCACTCTTGCCCACTCAGGGCCCTCCTGGGAGACTACAGTTTATTCATGCAGCATGCTCTTCTCTCCTCTCCTGTCTGGGCCCTCCCCATGCTAGGAGATGCTGGGGGCGCTTACAGGGACTCAGCCCCAAGCCCTGCGCTTTGGGGAGCATCTGGGGAAAGACCCATTGGGGCAGCGTTGGGCCAAAGGAAGGGACTGGGCTCGGGGACAGGAGGGCATCTGAGGACGACTTTAAAAAGATGACTAGGGGCCAGGCAGAGGAAGGTGTGGCTGAAATTTAGGGTGTGTGTGCGTGTGTCTCGAGGGCTTCGCATGCCTGACAGAGGGGTTGGATATTTTCCCTGGGGCAATGGGGAGCCTTAGACGGTGTGTGAGAAGGGGAGGGGCTCGGATTTGAGTATTAGAAAAATTTTCCTAGGGCTCGAATGGGGGCACTGCCAAGGGCAAGCTTGCAGCCCAGGAGTTTTCCAGATTGAGAAATGAACCCCGGAGAGGAGCACGGACCACCCCAAGGACATCCCGCCAACTCGAACTCAGACTTCCTGGGCTCCCCGCCAAGGGGCGGAAACTTGGCTGGGGCCAGAGAAAAGCTGCCAGCCAGCTGTGTGCCATCTGCCCGGCTCCCGCTGTGGGTGGGAGAATCAACCAGCCATTTCCTGCGACTGCCACCAGCTGCGCCCCCGCCCCCGGAGCACCCTCTGCCGGTCGACAAGAGCAGGAACTACAACTCCTAGCAGACCTCGGAACATAATGTCTTGTACGCGCATGCCGAGGAGGCGCCGTTCGCCTGCCACCTGCTGGTCCACCTTAAGAACTACACTCCCCTGTGGGTAAGGACGCTCCCGCGTACGGTGCGCAGGAGGCCTCCGCGGCAACAGCGGCTGCGCGGTAGGAGAAAATACATTTCCCAGAAGTCTTCGTTCCGCAACTGCGGAGCCTATGAGCTTCGGAATACCCGCCGCGGGCACGGCGTGACCGGCGGCTGGACATGGCTTTCTTGGCCCGATCCCTGGGTCGCCTGTGGGGCCCCGTCAGTAGGCCGGCGGCGCTACTGGGTGCCAGGTGAGTCCTCAGGGGCACCCTTCCCCAAATCTGGGGGTAAGGGCGGTGTCGGGAGCTGGCGACAGCTGTTTACCGACCACATGATCTGCCAATGCCTTGCTCACTTCTGGAGCGCCTTTTGCATGCAGGCTCGGTCCCGGTACAGGTCGGGAAGCCCAAGCTCAGAGAGGTTGAGCGCCACGCCGAAGTCACAGAGCGCCTCCGCTGACCTTACTCGCCATCTCTCTGCTCCCGCAGGTGGCTCCAGCCCCGGGTCTGGCTGGGGCTCCCCGATGCCTGGGGGCTCCCCGCCACGCAGCAGACCCGGGGCAAGGCGCGCGGGAACGAGTATCAGCCGAGCAACATCAAACGCAAGCACAAGCATGGCTGGATCCGGCGCTTGAGCACGCCGTCCGGCGTCCAGGTCATCCTTCGCCGCATGCACAAGGGCCGCAAGTCGCTGAGCCACTGAGGAGCGCCACGCTGCCGGCGGGACTCCAGTTAAAGCATTTCCCTCGCCTCGGACCTCTCCTGCCGCTGTTTTTGTGGGGAGCAGGGACGACTCAGACATGAGTGCTTCTCAAATTGTGGGGTTGGCCCAGGGGGAGAAGTTTGGGGTTGGACTGAAAGGGGTTGTGGGAAGGCAGACCTTGCCAAGTCCCTTTTTACGCATTTGAATTAGGAAGAATTTCGAACATACGCCTGCGGTTCGCGGAACAGTACAGTGAATCCCCGTGTGCCCAGCACACAGCTCTAACCACCAATTACTAGCAACCCAGCCGCCCCTTCCTGTGTCATTTGAAGCAAATTTCAGGCATCGGGTTATTTCTTCCGTAAACATTTCAGAATGTAACTCTCCAAGATAAGGGCTCTTTAAAACATAATCACAAAACTTTTCACGCCTAAAAAAGTAGTCGTCAATTCCTTAATATCTTTAAATGTCTTTAATGTCGAATAAATGTTCAAATGTCCACTTATCATGTATGTCATAACTTATACAGGTTGGGAAGGCTTGCGAGGAGGTGGGAGAGGTTTGAATCCTTCACCAGCCCCTCGGGATGGGCTGTCTGACTTTGAGCAAGGTCTCAGCCCTGAGGCTCATTTGGCTCCTGTAAGATGAGGTGCTCATTTCTCCTTTGCTGTGTTGTCGTTGGGGTAATAATATTTAGTAGCTTCCATTTAGTGACTTCTTCAGTACTTCCTATGTGCTGGGTGCCTGGTCTTTGTCCTTGCCAGGCTGTCAGTCTGGTAGTGGTAGGGGGACGTGATTTGTACCCAAGCAGTTTGGACACAGCGGAGTCAGGGCTGGGGGGAGGAGTGTGAGGGCTGCGGGAGCCCAGAAGAGGCCCCTGACTTGGCCTTGAGAAGAATGCAGGGAAAGCTTCCTGGAGGAGGTGGCAGGGTCTGGGTGGGCCCAAAGGGAGTAGGGCTTAGACAGGGGTCAGGATAAAAAATGGACAAGGGAGGGACCGGCCCGGTGGTTAGGTGTGTGCGCTCCGCTTCCGTGGCCCGGGGTTCACAGGTTCGGATCCTGGGCGCGCAACGACGCACCGCTTGTCAAGCCATGCTGTGGCGCCATCTCATATAAAGTAGAGGAAGATGGGCACGGATGTTAGCCCAGGGCCAATCTTCCTCAGCAAAAAGAGGAGGATTGGCGTCGGATGTTAGCTCAAGGCTTATCATCCTCACCAAAAAAAAAACCAAAACAAAACAAAAGGACCAGGGAGGCGAGAGGAGCCCAAAATTTGGGGCCAAGGAGGTGGGACTGGATCCTTGGGGCACTGGGGAGCCACGGGAAGTGTGTGAACAAGAGAGTCTGAGCTGTCAGTTTACAGATACTTAAGCAGCTGGTGCGAGAGCGGTTTAGATACGCCGAAACCTAAGGAAGGCTGGGACTCCGGGGAGGAGGCTGGGGGTGTTACGGCGGGTCCCGGTCTTCTAGGACTGCTATGGGACACCACAAGAAAAAGCGTAGCAAGTACTAGAAGGAGAGGGGACTTGCGGAACCTCCGGAGTTGTGGCCTACAAATCCCAGGAGGCTTCGGGGCGCGGCCTCCGCCCACTTCGGCTTTTGCTGCCCATCGCTTCTAAGTCCCGGGCGGGGTTTTACTCTCTCAACCGAACTTGCCCACGAAGGAGAAGGCATGGAGACCAATGGGAGTGTGATTTAGCCAGATCTGGCCAATGGGAGCCGCGCAGAGGCTGCACATCCTAGGGGCGGAGCTAGAGAGCGGACCAATGACGGGAGGGCGACGGCGCCATCAGTGTGGGCTGTGCCGTGGCTGGAAGTTACTGTGCGGCGGCGGTAAGAGGGCGGCTGTGGTGGCGGCGGCGGCGGCTGAGGCGGTGGCTGAGGCAGCGACGGAGGAAACAGAAGATGGTGAGGGTGGCCGCAGGGCCCGTACTCCCCCTCCGCTCCACAAAATGGCGCCGCGGGCCACCCACCTCCTGTAATCCCCGAGGCCCGTCATCTCACTGCTGGGCCCCCTTAGCCCCGGCTCCGCCCCTCGCTCTGACCTGTGACCTTCGATCTCGGGACCCCGCTGTGAGCTTCCTGCTGACCCCACCCTGGCTTCTTCTCCGACCCCTGACCCCATCTAGACTTCCAGGCCCTGACAACTCATTCATTTCCGGGTCGTGGCTCCCCCGGAAATCGCCTGGGTGGGGATGGGGTCCCCTGAGACCCCCAGCTCAGACCTCGTTCTCGGCGGCCCGGGCCTGGGCTTCTCCGTTTCTGGAGGGGTTGGGAGGCTGGTCTGGGCTTGGGGACGGGGGAGGGGGCTTGACATCGTGACATGCAGGGCTTTGTCGCCAAAGAAAGTGCGACATCGCAGACTGCCCCGGTCCCCCGGAGCCCTGACCCCACCCCTGCCATTCCAGGCCCTGACCTGCTCCTAAGAGGGAGCACCCTCATCTCTCCGATCCCAGGCTCCCTCCCTGCTAAATGGGGGTAGCAGTAGTCCAGTTCTCCTGGGGTCGTGACACTTTAGGGAACTGACGTCGCAAAGGGCTTGTGACAGCGAGTGCTCACTAGATGAGCTGGGTGACGGGCGGGTGATCCCCTCTCCCAGCTGTCTCCTCATCTTGAAGTGGGGCTGATGCCACCTGCTAGTTGGGAGGGTAAAATCCCCTCTGGGGAACTAGCTCATGTGGGGATCTGGGTCTGGTGGTTCTCTGGGGTTCCATCCCCCTGCCTGTACAGTGGGACCCCGCCTCAGAGCTGGGCTGAAGCCCCCCTCCCAGCACTACTCTTTGGCATCCCCAGGGCTGGCAGGGAATGGAAACCTTTGTCAGGGCAAGTCAGAACCTAATGTCCCTGGACCTGGGGTCCCAGCCCACCACCTGCAGTCCTGCAGATGTGGGGCGGGGCAAAAGAAGGTTTCTTGTCGGGAAGGAGACGAGAAGTGGGGTTCCCAGCATGCGGACCCCAAGCCTGGGCGTTGTCTTTGTTTCCTTGCTGCGTCCACGTCGCCCACACCCAGTCCATAAGAGGGTTCTGCTGGCTCTGCCTTCAGGACGCATCCTGAGTCTGTCCACAGCTCCCTGTCCTGGCCCAGGCCACCTGGATCCCTGCTCCAGCCCCTTCGCCTCCGGCCAGCCCCGTTGGAAATCCATCACCTGCCTGAAGCCAGAGGGAACTTTAAGAGATGGAAATCAGATTATACCCCTTTCTGGCTTATAAAACACTCCAGGGGCTTCCTGTTGTAACCCCTATGAAACCCCAGCTCCCCCCTCGGCCCCCAAGGCCCCTGCCCACCTCTGTGACCTCATCTCCACCCTTTTCACCCCTGTCTTTGCGAGGTCCAGCCACACTGGCTTTGTTCTCTCAACCTCACACGCCAAGTCCCTGCCACCCCAGGGCCCTTGCACCTGCTGCTTCTGCCTGGGATGCTCTTCCTCCTGCGAACATCCCCTCCTCAGAGGGCCCCTTCCTGACTGCGGGAGGCCCCCACATTGCTCCTCTCTTGGCCACCATTTCTTTTCCTCATCTCACTTTGGTTGGATCCCTGGTGGGCTGCCTGCATGGGGACTGGCATGCAGATGTTCAGTGCGTGCTTGCTGAGGCAGTGGATGGCTTCTGGGCCCCGCCGTGGCAGGCTGTGTGTGGCTGGAGTGAGAGTTTCTCCCCTGTGTCTGAGGCCTTGTGCTCCTGCTTAGCCGACAGGAAGGACTGGCCATACCCTGTCTTCATCATGAAGTTTTTTCAGCTCAAACACGTTGATGCTAACAGCTGCTCTCGAAGGAGCTCTTTCCCTGTGTTGTCTTGTTGAGACTCAGAACAACCCTGGGAGGGGCCCCGTTGTAACCCCTGGTTCCCAGGGGAGACGGCCAGGCTGGGCGGTCACTCGCCAGGTCACACAGCCGGGATTGAGTGCAGGCCTGGGGCTCTGGCCCCATATGAGCCCTGCCGTCTGCCCTCAGGGAGGTGCCGGTCCAGCCAGAGAAGCAGACGTGTACGTAGACGACCTCGGCGTGTGTGCGTGTGGCCTGGCAGAGGCTCCAGCGGGGGTGTGGAGAGGGAAGAGGCGAGGAGTTTGAGCTGGGTGGAGGGGTTGGCGGGTGTTTCCCACGTGGAGAAAGGAGAGGCGTTCCTGGAGGGTGGCACAGCACGGGCTGAGGGCACGCTTGTCAGGAGGCCAGCAGGGACCAAGCCCACCAGGGCTGTGGAGGGGTTTGAGCAAGGACAGGGACCCCCTCACCCTTCAAGTCTCAGCACCTGTGTCACTGCCTCTGGGCAGCCCTCCCTGATCCCCCAGGCTAGCCAGATCTTTCCCCCCGTGTCCTGGGCCCTGCGGCACCCTGTCCTCATGGCCTCTGTGCATTCGCTGCACAGCTCTTCAACCCACACCCGTGTGTCAGTGCACTGGATGCTCCCTGGGGCCAAGAGCAGGTCTGCCGTGTTTCCCCCCAGTGCCCTGGTGCCTGGCGTGGGGCCTGCCAACCTTGCGGATGGATGAAGCTGGCCCTATGGTCTAGGGCGGAGCTGGGGCAGGGGTCCTGGGACAGGGGAGGCAGGTTTGAGGGGCGTTGAGCCGGCCCCGGGGCACTAGGTCACCCGGATGTGAGGGCGGCCTCCTGGGTGGGAGCGGAGTCCCGGCCACCTGGCTGGCCTGTCCTCCCGAGGTCTCACTGGACCCCACAGAGGGGAGGACACCTGCTCCCTCCCGCCTGCCCCAGGTGGGCAATCACCTGAACAGTGGCATGGGGTGGACCACCAGAGAAGGATTAATGTAGCCTATGGGGGCTCTGAGCTCTGGATTTTCAGGTGGGGAAACTGAGGCATGGCATGTCACGTGACAGAAGCAGCTTGGCCTCTGAGGGTGGGCAAACCAGGATTTAAGTTGGCTTACTTAGATGAGTGCCATGCGACCTTTCTGCCTTAGTTTCCATGTCTTTTTGACCGAGTGACACCAGCTCAGGAAGCCCCTAGCCCAGGGCGGGACACGTGGGGAACCCCACACGGGCTGCACCCCTCCCCAGCTGTCCCACCCCAGGCCTGACGACAGCATTGCCCTCCTGCTCTGCTGGGAGGTCACTCCGTGCCCAAGCTCTTGGCCTTCACCCGTCCCCGTGCGCCCCTAGGCTCTCGTGCCTCAGTTTCTTGAGGTGGACACGGCTCCTGTTGGCTTTTACTGCCCCCATCTTGTGGCTGAGCCAGGGTCTTCCCGTCCAGAGCCCTCGCCCGGCCTTGCCCAGTGATGCCAGAGTGGCGGAGAAAGGACTCTGGAAGAGGCGACACTGGGATTGAGTCCCATTGCTGGCTCCCTGCACCAGTGCGCCTCTGCCTGCTCCCGCTCGGCCTCTGGGCCTCTCCCTGGGAGGCCTTCTCCTCTCCCAGCGGAGCCTGCCAGTGTGCGGGCTCCAGGAGCGGCCGCTGAACTGACCCCACTCCACACTGCATTTTATAAAAGCTGGGCCACTGATGAAAGCCTGGCCATGACCCGTTAAGACTGGGATTCTGAGTCTCCTCAGAACTCGGCGGCTCAGTCGGCACTGGGCTCCTGGCAGGTCCTGTACGGCGGCAGCCCCTGTGGCTGACCTGCCCACTCCCCTTCACCCAGGCCCCTGCTCCCCAGCCCCTGAGTATTGTCACTCCGGCCCACAGGGTTTCTTAGGAGGGACGAGCCTCACTCCCTCCTGGGTCTCTGTCACAGGTGGAGAAACAGAGACGAGATGGGGAGGTCAGTGTGTCAGCAAGCACAGACGCCTGGGTCCGGCCCCCCGCCCTGCTGCTGGCTCACTCGGTGACTTAAACAGGTGGCTTGTCCTTTTTGAGCCTCAGTTTCCCCACCTCTCGCCCGGTGCCGGGGCTGTTATGAGGATACCGTGGGAGAACGTGTGCCTCCCCTGGGCCAGTTCCTTTTCTCTGGTCAGGACAGCGTACAGTCAGGTAGCCAGCTCAAGGGTGCGTCCTGGAAAAGCTGACCAACAGAAGAACATAAGGAAGCCCCCGGCCGTCGCGGAAGCCCAGCCCCCAGGGGCTCCAGGGGAGACGCGCCTGCCGCCCCATTTCTCACGCACCGTCCCCCTGTCTTCTAGGCAGATTTTTTGAAAGGACTGCCTGTGTACAACAAGAGCAATTTTAGTCGATTTCACGCCGACTCCGTGTGCAAAGCATCGGTGAGTGTGTGCCGGGCACTGCAGGAATGGGTCTTGCTGGAGCAGAGGCCCCCCGAGATCCTCGCATGTGTTCCGATCTGCGGTGGAGGGGGTGCCAGGTTGAGGGGTGAGGGGACCCCAGGTGTGTCCGCTCTCCTAACCCACACCTTCCCATCCCTCCTGCAGAACCGACGGCCCTCGGTCTACCTGCCTACGCGGGAGTACCCGTCTGAACAGAGTAAGTGGCCTCTCTCAGTCTGTTCCACGCTGGGCCTGCACACGGGGAGGCCAGTCATCTCCCAGCCCTTGGGAGCAGCTCCAGGACCCTCCTGACCTCTGCATGCTGCTGTCGGCGTCCAGCCCCGCAGGGGTGCTCTCCCCTACCTCCCAGCAAGCCAGGCGCCCCCTGCCGGCTCCACAGCACAGCTCCAGGGCGAGCAGCTCAGGGAGGGGCAGCCAGGCAGAGGGCCCTGCAGAGAGAGGCCCAGAGCCACAGAGCAGCGGGACCCTGAGGTTGTTTATCATGGTCGTGATGTTTTATTTTAACCGTGATAAAGAATCCCCCAGGAGGGCCGGCCCACTGGCGTAGTGGTTAAGTGCGCATGCTCCACTTTGGCCGCCTGGGGGTTCACAGGTTCGCATCCTGGGCGCAGACCTACACACCACTTATCAAGCCATGCTGTGGCAGGAGCATCCCATGTACAAAATGGAGGAAGATGGGCACAGATGTTAGCTCAGGGCTAATCTTCCTCAAGCGAAAATGGAAGAAGATGGGCACAGATGTTAGCTCAGGGCTAATCTTCCTCACCAAAAAAAAAAAAAAAAAAAAAATAGAATCCCCCTGGACCCTGCCGGGTGGGTTCTGTGGTCACTAGGGCACAGCTGTGTAGATCTGGGCTCAGACCTGGGAAAGAACATGAGGGAGCCTGTGTGCTGGGGCTCGTCGTTCCCTGCCCAACAGTGGAATCCTGCACAAGGCCAAGGGGCAGGGGCCCTGGTGGAGCAGCGGGCTTGGTCCCCTTGGTAGTGGCCGTGTGCCCAGGATGGAAACGCTGAGCTTCCAGAAATCTCTTCCCGGGTTGGGGGTGCTGACTTGAGTCCCAGAAGGTCCCCCAGGACAAATGGTCCTGAGGTCAGGGAGGGTGACCACCCGCTCATCCTGGGAGGTGCAGGTGGGGATGGAGGCTTGCCGCCTGCAGCCTCTTCCTGTGACTTTGTCTGTCTGTCTTCCTCAGTCATTGTGACAGAAAAAACAAACATCCTTTTGCGCTACCTACATCAGCAATGGGACAAAAAGGTAAAGCACGTGGGGCTCAGGTGCTGGGACTCGGGTACATGGTGCCTAGCAGGGGCCTCTAAGTAGGGGAAGGACATGGGTGGCTGGGAGACCAGGTGTTTGAGTGGGGCCTTGAGGGCTGAATAGGAGTTCACCAGGTGATCCAGGAGAGGAAAGAGCGTTCCAGGAGAGGGAAGAGCCTTCCAGAGGAGGGAATGGCTGTGCAGAGGCCACAGGGCTCTGGTGTTCAGGGATGGGCGAGCCGCACGGAGGTGTGAGCGCCACCCACAGCGAGCAGGTCCCGGGGGGCAGGTAGACTTGAGTGTTACTACCTGGAATCTTTGTTTCTTGGCAAAACGTACACATGATGAAAAATCCAGGTAATACAAGAGGATGTGGCCGCAGTGAGAAGTTGTCCCTCCCTCTCTCCCAGAGGCCGCCTCCTGAACACGCAGGACATTTTTTCTTCTTCTTTAATGGAAATCTGGACCTTTTGTCCTTCAATGCAGTCGGTTTGTTTTTTTCTGAACACTGAACATGGGGCGGGGGCCTGCTCAGGGTGAGGTGGGAGGGGCCCGTGATGAAGCGCCTGGCCCTCCCCAGCCCCACAGACCTTGATTCCCCACCAGCGGGGAAAGGAGAGTTTCCCCAGCTGGCCAGCTTTTCTCTTCTGTGGCAACGCAAGGGCTTCCCCAGGTGGCTCACTCCTCTGAGCGTTTCGGGCCATGTGTGGGTCGTTGTGAGCTGTGGTGACTCCTCGCAGTGCCTGGGGCAGGCAGGCCGCCCCAGGGGACTGTGGCTTAGCTGGGTGGGTCTGGGAGCGGGAGGGGCTGCCCGGCCAGGACATGTGATGCCCTTGGAGCCCCAGGGCCCAGGCCGGCATCAAAATTTCAGGAGCTCACTCAAGTGAAGACTCACAGCCCCTCTCCTGCCCCCTGCCCCCCAGAACGCTGCCAAGAAGAGAGACCAGGAACAAGTGGACCTGGAGGGAGAGAGCTCGGCCCCACCCCGCAAGGTTGCACGGACCGACAGCCCGGACATGCACGAGGACACTTAAGACTCATGCTCCCCCACAAGCGCCTCCTGTCTTGTCTATTCCTCGCCTGCCCACCCGCCGTGTGTAAGCGCCCTGCCTGCCCCCGCCGGCCCGCCCACGCCCCGCCATCCATACCACTTCCAACCTCATAGGAGCCGATGTATTTATTTTCCTTGAGTTTTTATTTATGCTGTAAAATGTACCAAGTGATGGTTAAAGGGGACGTCAGACCCAGTAGTGTGATGTTGGTAGATGCTTTTTGAAAACAACATTGTTATTTACCACCTCCCCCGCCCCCAGTTGCCTCTCCTCCCGCCCCACAGTCCTCCTCCGGAGAACCAGAGTGGGTCTGCGAGGGTCTAGAGCCGGGGCCCTGCAGCTGGGCGGCAGGGGTGGGGGCCTTCTCCCTGCTCCCCCTGCCGGTCCGGGCCTTAAAGACTTGGCCTTGTCTCACATTCCATCGGGACCTATTCCGTGCCCAGACCTTGCTCTGAGCGTGCACCAGGGGAGAAGTCGGCCCTTCCGGATCTTTCTCTCAAGTCATTTTATCATGGACTCGTGCGTGCTCCGTGTCCACCCCAATAAAAGGATCTTTCCTACTCGACCTTGCGTCTTCGCTCCGTGTGCCTCCGCCCCAGAGGACGGAGCCACTGAGAGTCATCGCACCGTCACCAAGAGGAGCGGAGAGGGGGCCCCACCTGCTGGGGCCCTGGGACCAGCTGGATTCTGTTGTGGGCCTGCTGCAGCCGCCTCACTCAGCTCCAAGGCCTGCCTGGACCTGCCCCTTTGCCTTACCTGTCAAGGTGTCCTGAAGGACCAGGACACCCCTGAGAGACAGTCTGTGTCACCAGGGACGGAACTGTGGTTGACTCCACTCCCAGGACACTGGCGAACAGGGTGGCATGCCCACCAGCCACTGTGGAGACAGCCTGGTGGCCTGGCCTCACGCGCCCCTGGCTCAGGGAGCACGCACACAAGAGCGCTGTGGAATGCCCAGCCTAGGCGCCGTCAGTTGGCGAGTTCCACAGCCACTCGGGCCACCAGCTGGGCTGGCTTTGGGGCTAAGCTGGGGAACGCAGGGGGCATTTGGGCTCCAGGCAAAAGGTTTGAGGCCCTGACCACTGAGCTTGGGGCGGGGGGGCATACCACTTCTCCCCCGCCCACCCCCAGCAGGGCCGCAGTGTGGAAGCTGAGTGCTGGGCCGCCAGGGCTAGAGGAGAGGCCAGGCCATGGACGGGGCGCCTGCCCCAGATTATCACCGTGGAGGGACCAGCCTGAGTCAGGCTGCTTGGGCCTGGGCTGCCTAGCACCTCCCAGGGTGGAAGGTTCCAGGATTGGCTGCTCAGCTGTGCCGTGGGGCCAAGGGGCTTCACCTCCCAGCTCTGGGCAGTGTCTACACCCGCCTTCAGTCCCTGTGTCACAAGGCAGGTGCTCGGGACCTCCAAGCTGGACTGTAGTCCTGCCAGGGTGGGCTGAGTCCCTGGATGCTCTCAGACCGGCTTGGGATCCCCAGTCCCAGAGGTGGTCTGACCCTGGGCAGGTGTGAGGTATCACCGCTGGTTAGTGACTGAGAAGATGGAGGGACTTCAGCTCCAGAGGCCATGGGGCAGAGCGGGAGCAGGCTGTACCCTGTCCTTCCCCGAGGCTCGCCCGGGCCTCCCCTGCCCCAATTCCTCCTTTGAGGGGCTGGGTTCTGTCTCCTGCCAATCCTGTCCATGGCCCGCCCAGGCCTCCCTATGGTCTCCCCAGGGCAGGCCCCGTGGCCAGCCTCCACCTACTACTGCCTTTGGGTCCCCCTCACTCCTCTGCTCCCCCACACACCAAACTTGGCCTTCCCACACCTCTGTGCCTTTGCACAGGCTGCTCTCCTGCCTCCAGTGAATCCTGACTTCTCTCTCACAGCCCCCCAAGGTGCCTTTTCCTCACACTGGCTCCTTCTGGGTTCCCCCAGCCCTGGGGCGGGGCCCGGCAGGCTCTGAGCCTTTGGATATGGACATGCTCGAAGTTGGGGGAGGCCACGTCCATCCCTGATCACACAGTGAAGAGTCCCAGCAACTCTGACGGCTGTCCCACGGTGGGATGCCCTGGCCGCTCCCTGCTGCCACCCCCGAATGCACATCCCCCAACACGGAGGCAAGGGCACCAGGTGCCTTCTGATTTTCACACCCAGGTTCTTCCCCTGGCCCCAGCACCTCTGATTGGCTGGGGAGGCGGGTGTGCCAGAAAGTGTGGCCTCGAGGACTGTGCCACCCCCACCACCCTGCAGGGCCAAGGCCCACTCAGGACCCAGGCCCCGTGCCCAAACTGTTGAGTCCTTTCAGCATTTTGAGATTTCTTACTTTGTCTAGGAGGCTGAAGCCAGGGCCTGAGGCTCTGCAGCTCTTCCCAGGGGCCCTGGGCCTGGAGTCGGCCCCCAAATCTGGGTTGTCTTAGAGGCGGCAGTGTGGAATTTTCCATCTGTGACCTGGAGACCCACTTCTTAGTGGGAGGCTCCCATGGTTTAGAAGATGGGAGGGGCACCCACCCTCAGCCCCCAGGCCCCAAAAGAGCCTGCGCCAACCTAGTCACTGGGCCCCCCGGACCTCCTTCCACTGCTCCATCCTCCGGCACTGTTGAAATATACTTTTTATTGCATTTCTGCCGTTTTACAAAAATATGACAAAATAAATTAAAAACAAATAAATAATCGCCTATTCTGTGTTTTCTGTTGGTTGTCAGGGTTGCCTTTCGTGTCCCCCATCCTAGTGGAAAGGAAAACGGCAGATGGGGGGGCCGGACCCCCGGCCCTGCCTCAGGAGAGACAGCCAATCCTGGGGCCGTGGGGCTGAAGCGCGGTGGCGGGCGGCGCCGCCCCGCCCGGGGCTGATGTTGCATCCGCGAAGAGGAGGGCAGGGCGGCCGAGCTAGTGCCAGCCGCTGGGCCAGCACACCGCCTGGGGGCTGGGGCTGGGCGAGGGCGCCGGGGGCTC